CCTTTTCTTAATGCAGGTCACTGCTAAGCTCCTGTCATGCCAGGTAAATTACTCACTGGTTTGTTTACTAAAGAAATCTGAAATATGTAAAAGCTTTGAAAATGTGCGATTTGACTTGATTCAATCCTTTTCCTGCACAGCACTGTGGATATTGTATGTGAAGTTGGCTTTGGTTTTGTTTTTATATAGGCTTTAATGCTTTCATTGGCAGGGTCTGCCATTGAGTTAACTTCATTGAATGGACCTGTTTGGTCAAGTCATGCCAGGTTGATAGCTTCATCTGAGTTGTTCTTGTCTGGTAACAGCGTAGTGACAATATTCTGCTAAATTTGTGCTTGCTGCCATGACCCTGAGTTTTTTACAGCATCAGTCTATGTGGCAACAAAGCTAGAAGCCTGTGTAGATACTGAAAGTATACATTTCTGTAAATGGAGCATTGACCATGGACACAAGGTGCGTTCTAGAAATAACGTATCCCCGAAATGAAAGACTTTCAGGGTTTTCGCTAATGGTGTGCTGAAGTTCATTGACCACGATCAGGCTGTGTATCTTCCTAGCAGGAAAGAAAGTCAAGGTTGTACTGTGTATGTCCAGAAGTGGAGCATGTTAAAGAATGGGCATGCTGCCTTAATGAGGATGGGAAAATCTGTCACCCGAGAAAGCCAAACAGGGATGTATCTGTGTAAATGGTTCTGCTGAAGCTAATAGTTTCCCTACCTAGAGTCATTTGATTGACCTCCATCTCTGTTGCCACGACTCTGGTTAGAGCAGTGACTCAGAAATGGCCCTTTATGCTGACATCTCAGGTATGTCCAAGTCTTGAGAGCAGCTTAGTGGAAAAACTTGATTGAAAAGGTAATGTTAAGCTGTGTAAAGTCCCAGTGGGTATTAGAGTGCTTATTTGATTGTTTTTGACTGTCACAAATTTGTCCAGTTTGTCTACAGTCAGCAAATGGGTTTACATCTGATGCGTGTTGGGTTGCATGTGCTGTGAGGAGTATTGTTCTTCAGATTCACTGACTTGATTTTTATGGCTTGGGACAAACGTTAAGTTCTGTGAATTATAGTTATTGCCACGTGTCCTAAATTCTGTACTTCACTCCAGTGAGCTTGTTATTAAATGCTTGCATACCAATGGCAGGAAACTGCTCTCTTCAGTCTTAATACAGCAAAGTCCCTAGAATCCTATTTGGTGCAAGCAAACCACCCGACAGAGACCACTCGCCACCTTTTGTTTCCTTCAGCAGTGCCTTAGGTTCAGTTGTTACTAAGAATATGGTTTCCAAGCGCTTGTCTGGTTGCGTTTTTCATTGCTCCTGTCTGCGCAGGCTGTAACTTGGAAGTCACGTCTGAGCTTTTTCTTGTCAGACCCATTCTCTCCATTGAGGTGTTTCAGAGCAGCCATATAGTTTTATACGTTTGCTAGTTATTGGCACCCTCAGTAGGAGCTGGAGCTTGTTCAGTATTGATAGCCACGCTTTTATTCTGTGGAAACCTAGAAGTTTTCCACTTTTAAGTCTTTTATTGAAATAGATCATTTTTTTTTTCCAGCCAGTGAATTTGACATAGCTTATTTTGAAACCACCTCAGAATTTTATTTACAAAGCTGGAAATCCAGTGGGGTTAGTACGTGTGAAGAGAAACATTGCCTGCAGGACTTCTTTTGTAGAAGTTGTCTCTATAGGAAGATTTGTCTTTGGGGACTAGAATGCCCAACATACATGTGTTTTCCTTTAGGAGTTACTCCTGG